GTTCAAATTTCGTAGCGTTGATGTGTAATTAATTATAACAATCAAATTAGGTACCTGGTAACAAATACGTGTGGGTATAGACTAGCTATTTGTTATACAGTAAATACAGTTATATGCAGTAAAATCTTAGTCTATCCCTTTAAATTATAATTAAAATAATAAAATAATAATTTGTACATTTCCTTACATGTCATAACTGCGACCTGTATTAAAACAATATTGTTTTATTTGGAAAGCAGATGCGCACAAAAACGCTAGCATGGCTCAACACATAAGTAGGAAAGTCATAAATGTAGTGCTGGTACACACCTAAATCCTAATTCCTGCACAGTTTGTCTACTTGTTTATGTACGGCTTGGCGTCACGAAACACCAGGTAAACCGATTCATTAGCACACACTGTGCGTTTTTGCATCATATGTCAGCATTCACAATTACTCAAATATTGCTGCTGGTCAACATAAAAGCTCCATTTGAATAAGTGCTGAATGTTGTTACACAAAATATATTAGATCTCACTTAGCATTTGCTGTCGCTGCTTTCACTGTGATAAATTACTACAAAGTAGCTATAACCTCGAAAACACGATTTGTGTGGACTTTGTGCTGCTTTAAACATGTCTATCATGTATTGGTGTACAGTCCTATCACCAGTAGAACAAGCTGGTCATGGCTCATAGTGCCTTGACCAATTGCTTACCAATGTTTCCACCATTCATCATTGACACAAAAGCTTTCCCTGCATTCTCCAAGCCCTCAATAATCGTCTCTCTTACCTATAATATAAAGAGTGCTTGTGATTAGTTAACATCCTTATATTATGTTTATATAATACACACACACACACACGCATGCACGCACGCACGCACGCACGCACGCACGCACACACACACACACACACACACACCCACACACACACGCACACACACGCACACACACGCACAACACACACACACACACACATATATCAGGAGTAAATATTCTCAAAGGAGTATGACATGTATTTTCCTGTTTTACTGATTTTCTCCTTTATATTTTGGCATAAATAAAAACAAAAATGTATACGTTATTGAGCTTATTTTGTACTTTTATTTTTCACCTACTTTGTACGGAAATTGGTTTATAGCTATTTGCTGACTTATTCCTACGTATATCCTGAGCGATACTAGCAATAACTGCTCCCATCCCCCGCATGCGACTCGGCAGAAATTTGAGAGCAATAATTCCCTAACAAGTGCCGCAGAGCGACAGCGCTCAACTGACGTGTACTGTAGCCGAGTATTCTTCTGATAAACTCACTGGCAACCTCATCAAGTGCGCCCTCCCGCCACCGCGTTCGCGCTCAGAGCATATATCTAGGATACTACCAGGAGTCTATCAATCAATATTGATAGACTCCTGATACTACTAATACAGATCTAAAATCTATGATAGCTAGGCTTTGCTATACTGGTAGTACAGGAATAAAGATACAGCTGTGTAACTTTAATGACTTCGTTATATTAACATGTTATCATGGATATGCGTCGAGTGCGAGCGTAGTGGTGGTGGTGGGGGAGAGTAGGGGGAGGGGGCGCGTGGAGGGGGCTCTAATAGCAAAAGCAGTTGCCACGAGATGGCGCGTGCAAGTGTTATCAATAATCAAAGATGGCATCACCCTTCGTGCGTGATAACCTCACTCCATTGAGTTGCTGAAATCCTACCAGCTAAAATCCAAGTATATTCAGGCAGGCGAGAATTTCGCTCAGCTGTGAGTTAACACATCTGCATTGCAGGTTGCCAGGCAATAATTATGATTAGAATAGTGCCAGTTCACCACCATGCATGCGTAATGGGCTGCCCCCATGTTTTTGCCTACACATGCGAGCATTCAGGGTTCATTACAGTGTGCTAATACAGTGTGCTACTCAGGGTGCTAATACAGACTGCTTTAGAAAATAATATGATTTAAGGAGCGTAAACCTTGTTCAACAAACATTTGCCTTTGCAATTGAACTGTGCAACTGTAGCCTCACATCCACAATAGCAAAAGCAGTTCAGTCCTTTGTTAACAGTCAACAAATCCATGTTTACCCCGCCTCTTGAGGGTCAAAAGGTTATCCGACACTTAATCTTCGCATGTCAGCGGAAAGTACATTTTATGGTCCTTTC